CATGTTCTAGTCACATTTCTTGGATTATGTTAGAAACTGTTTCATGGCGCAGGTTGTAGATTCCATGGTCGTGGAGAGGGCTCGTGGGGAGTCGCAAAGCAGGTCACGATCTCTTCAGTCTCTTTCTGGGGATCCTCAGCGTTTGGTGGTATTGTGAGATACTATTTTAGAGGTTCGCTAGTGGATGCTTATGGTGTAAGGTACTTGAGGTGATTCATGTGTGGATGTAGTTTGAAGGATAAAAGGAATTTTGCCTAACCATTTTGTCATCAAATTAATATCTCAGGTTTGTTTTTGGTATCACTGCATTACTACCGCTGATAACATCTGCCGTCGCTGTTCTTGTAAAAGAACAACGTATGCTGGGCCCGACAAGAAAGCAAAATGGCCTTTCGACCAATCACACCTTTCTTGAAAGCTCAAGGGAGAGTATCATTCAGTTGTTGAATGCTGTCAGACAACCCAAAGTGTTTCTTCCCACAGTTTTTATTTTTCTTGTGGCAAGCAACACCTTAGTCAGACTCCGCTATGTTTTACTTCACGTGAGTTCTATTACTTTCAGTCAGTCCCTGGTTTTCTCTCATCTTTCGTATCTCAGCAAAAGGCCGTTTTCATTTCAGCACGAATAAACTCGGTTTCACCCCAGAATTTATAGGACGTGTCAATCTTGTTACTTGGGTTGCTACATTGGTTGGAGTTGGATTGTATAATGGGTTTTTGAAAACCGTTCCATTGCGGAAGATTTTTCTTGCCACAACAATTATCGGTACAGCTCTTGGAATGACTCAGGTTTGTGTTTTTATTTACTTATGCTTGCATATATTTCCGATTTGTGCTTATGAACATTTTGAATGCATAATATTTTGTCTTTGCTTAGGTCTTTCTGGTAACTGGATTGAACACGCAGTTTGGAATAAGTGATGAGTGGTTTGCAATTGGGGATTCCTTGATTCTAACTGTTCTTGGTCAGGCAATTTATGTTCATCAATCATTGTCTGCTAGTTGAACATGCATGATTAAAGTTTAAAAATTAAGCGTATCATTCCTATATTATGTGTATTTGCAGCTAGGGTCGTAAAATAATCGGGTTTGAACGAATGAGTCTACGTTCATATTCGTTTGTTTATTTTGAATGTGCTCGTGTTTGATTTGTGTTTGTTTAAATTTTTAATCTTATTTTCGTGTGTTTGTGTCTGGTTTGTTTAGGGTTCGTGAGCATGTTTGTCAACATGTTCAGCATTCTTCAACATTTTCATTTATATATTCAGAAAATGATGAAATTATGCCACTAGGCCTTAAGCTCTTTAGGTTTCACATTTTAAACTTCACAATTCACTATGTGTTCAGTTTAGTCCCTACTTTCACCAACATTTAAAATGTAGAAAAAAGAAAAGAAATTGTCTCAGGTAAACGAGCTTGTTTGTGAACATAAACGAACCGAACACATCTCTATTTGTGTTCGTTCGATTATTAAATGAGTATAAAAATTTAGTTCATACTCATTTATTTAACTAAATAAATGAACAATTTATTAAACGGTCCGTTCATTTACACCCACATTTGCAGCCAAGTTTGCTAACATAGTGTAAAAGTAAAACTACTGGACAACTTATTTGATTTCAAGTCTGCAGCTGATGTTCTATGCTCATCGACAATGTTGCAGCCTTCTTTCATGCCGGTTCTTGTACTTGCAGCCAAGCTATGTCCGGAAGGGATGGAAGCAACACTGTTTGCAACTCTGATGTCCATATCAAACGGAGTAGGCGTGCTGGGGGACGTTTAGCTGCAGAACCAAAAATAATATTGATAACTTAACCACCTTGATTATCCTATGCAATCTCAGTTCGTTGTTGCCTTTGCCACTGCTTGGCCTCCTTCCTCAGGATGACTCTGAAACTGTTTCTAAAGAGAGAGTAGATGTTGAGATGAAAGCTAATTGAATATATCGGATACAACATTGAAAGTGTATGGTCTTTCGATTACATACCCCAAATTCCACGTGCTGCTGCGATTTTGTTGTTTGGTTTTGAAAAGAGTATCTCTGCAAAAGCATTTCCATAAGCCAGCAGCGACACCCGGTTCTGAGGATCAGATGCAAGGTGCTCTATTATCATTGCAGCTTTCCGGCATAATTCTGGCACCGGATGTGGTGTCTTGATCACTTACGGTATACAATCAGCCGCCGTAAAAATAAGATAAGCTCTTTCAGCTATAAACTTCGATGATAACATGACTACGAATTATCACATTCATCATCAGTACGCCATCATCCGATATTAAAAACAAAACAAAACTTACCATCTCTCACTAGCTAGCTTCAACCTGTGGTCCATATTGATGTCGACTAAGTTATAGAGTGCACCAGTTGCAGTAGCTTGTCCATCGAATGCTTGCAAGCTCAAGATATCGACTAATCGCTTGTACATCTGCAATTACCATCCAGTTTGTATAATTACTTGTAACATGACATTTAATTGAGAAAATATTCAAGCAGAATGGTTTACCTAAGGAACAAAAGGAAAAAGGATTTATAATCATGCGCCCAAGAAATTCTGCAGCCGCGCAGTGCCAGTCTTTGATTGGAGATCTTAGCATCCCCATTATAGCTTGAACTGCACGCTTTCACTGTTCCGTAAACAGTCGGTGTAACCATCGACTCGAAGTTAGAAATTAAAAAGAACCACACACACACTATCTCAAGCAAGAAAGTAGATCAGGATTTTCACGTTATTTTAACTAAGATGGCTTCCGTGAACTGAAAATCCGAAGGTTGAGCAAAGGAGCTGAATTACAATCGCCTCGATGGCATTTGTGACAAGTTGTTCATCCTCCGTCAAGAAAATAACTAGAGAAAGCACACGGAGATATACTGAAAGAGTTCAGGTAACTTCTGCTATTAGATAATAGAAGAAAAAAAGACCATTACGCACACAAGTATGTATTATAAATGACAAAGACATACAAACAAACACTAAACTGTCCACGACGAAAGAGAAAAAGGGAATGGTAGTCTCACCTATGATGTGATCCTCTATACACTGAAAAACAGTTTCCAAGCAATGCCGATGCAGAGCCATGGCAATTTCGTTCTCCGGCATGAAAGAGAAGTTGCGTATGACATTAGATGCAGCAACAGCACACTGCTGTTTTTCAGCTCGACGCTCATCATCTAGATTAAATAAACCATCTTCATCAAGCCACCACTCCGAACGACGGCGTCTAGTTGTATTCTTAGGCCCGGATGTTTCAGCAGCAGAAGAACCCGACCCCAACCTGTCACAGCATAAAAAACTGTCCAATTTTATTTCCACCTCCATAAAACCAGCAAGACGAGAAAAACGACGTCCGAGCCTACCCCGACTGTGGCAGCAAGGTATTTGATCCCAATGCCTCGTACTTGTTGCTGAATCCTGTTACAACAGAATTTGCACCCAATGTTCTAGCCCTGTGTCCCTCTCCAAGTTCCTTAGGAAGTGCTATATCGCGCCGATCATCGATCTTCTCCGCATCATAATCACCATATAAAAGACTGAATTTATTGTTATAAATATGATCAAAACACAAAACTGAAGGTTTATTTGTTTGCCGACAATCGTTCCGATATTATACCACAGAGCAATCTAAGAGTGTTCAAAGCCAAGTTAACTCACTCTTCAAATCGCTTTGAAGTGCAAGAACTATCCTTCTATTGTTCTGCTCTACTTCCAGTAGCAAAAACAACAAATTTACCACCGCACTTAAGATAAAATTACCAAGAAAGTAATTTCAAATAAGCAAGGATTATGATGAGAATAGTTAAGGAATTGCCTCGACTTTGATTTTAGTTCTAAGTGTAGGGTTTACCAGAGAGGGAGCTGTGAATTTGGAGGGAAGGGCCGAGGAGAGTGAACGGAGCAACTGAATCAGCAGCGGAGGCGGAGGCTATGCTAGCAGCTGTGCTTACAAATGGTCGGCCTCTCTTCAAAGGTGGCGTGCAGTTGCCACCCTACGTACCACCTGATTTACCCTTCTTTCTCTTCTGCATGATTTTTGTTTTTCGATATGGGGAAAATTTGCCATGTAAATGTAATTGATCCTGTTAGCAGAACTATACACAGTTGAAGTTATAAGTCTTAAATGCACAAATCCCCCTAAATTAATTATTTATATAGAGGCATACCCTGAAATATATGTTTTAAGACGTTTTGCCTTTTAAAATTAAATCATTAAAAAAGTCTCAAAAGTCAAAACATCCCAAAAAAAATACTTCAAAAGTATATCATTTATGTATTTAATAATATCATCGTAAAAAATCCCTAAATAGTCCTTTTAACTTTTTTTTAAAACATTTCAACCCTCAATGTTTCATTCTAGGATAAAAGATTCATATTCTAGAGTATTAACGGTTTGTTGACCGTCACCATTTCGTTTTAACGCCACTTAATGGTTTCAATATTTTCTTTACCATTGATATCGCTAAATAGATTCTTTCGTATATTCTTTCATATGTTACATATTCATATTACTAAAACAAAGTCATTTTGTGTACCATCTGCTGTATGATATGTTTTGTAGAAAATGTTGGGGTTCATTGTATTCGGGGGGAAATGCCGTAAAATTGTCCATTTCTACATCATAAACATATGAGATCACCATTAATATTCTGTATTAAATCAAAACCTCCCCAAATTAAACACTATAATAATAACGGTTAACTCTTCGAATCAGGAAAAAAAAAACTAAGGTAAATTACGCGTTTAGTGCTTAAACTATCAATTTTGATCCGTTTTAATATATAAACTTTTATTTTTTTTCCAAAACCATACCTAAAGTTTCATTTTGGTATCCCGCTCAAAATCTAATATATGTTTTGAAAAGATTTAAAGTTTAAGTACTAAAACAGAACAAAACTGACAGTTTTGGTACTAAACGCGTTAAGTTTTTAACGATCGGATACTAAAATGAAATAAAAACTAAACGTTAGGTATGATTTTGAAAAAATCAAAAGTTTATGTACTAAAACGGACCAAAACTGATAGTTTAGCTACTAAACGCGTAGTTTACCCAAAAAAACCTATCAACAGTATCCAACATTTGCAACCTTGAGCTTCTTGGGGGCCTTCAAACCATTGATCCCATATGGGAATTATATAGGGCCATTTGTTCTGTCAAAAACTGATCAAAGGGAATTATCAGACTTACTCAAAAATGAAAATAAAGTTATCTATGTATCTATGTTTGTACCGATGGCCCGACGTACATGGGGAGTAGCGGATCGGGTTTACTTTCGACGTTGCCGAGCATCCTGTCATGAGTAAGAAAACATATTTCAATCAGCTTTCATGCTAAGAAAATGATGGTTGCATCGATGTTTATTCAACCTTCAAATTCAACATACAAGACAGTCATTGAAATTGAATCTAGGAATAGAAGATGGAAAAGGAGAACTTAGTAGTTGAAGCCAATCCTGCATCGTTAAATCTTCCGGTAAGCAAACTTAAGCTCGTGATTAGATCAGTAACATAGTATAACTTTCAACCCCTTGATTATCAGGAAAAAACATATAATTCCCACATAATGGGATGGGATGTCTGTTTGATAGCCAATTCTAACTCTATACAAAATGAATCGCATCCCTCTTGCAAATGGATAAATCGAAAGGCTTAAATCCAATGACAGCAAAATTTCATATTAAATTGTTCCGGTCTAGTCCATAGGACTTTCGGAAAAAGCCCCCCCAACCATTTTGGTGAATTCCCATATATCAATAAGCTTCACAGGTGAAGCAATAACATTCATTCATATTACAAGTTAATATTTAAACAAATCAAATATAATAAATTACAGCCTAAAGTCGGTATGCATCCGAATCGAACAAACCAAATTTGAAAGGTGGTGAAGAGCAACGATAAATCATTGAACGTGAGCATAATGAATCAACTTAATGAACCAAAACAAGGACTCAAGAATCTGGTATCAACACCAGAGACCTAGCCACATAACGTGAACAGCAAGTTCTTTAAGACAACGTATTATAGAACAGAATAGCAGTACAATAAAAGTTCAAGTTAAGGTCATCGGAAAGATGACTTAAAAACTAGGTCTTATAGACGAGGGAGTCACATTCGAACAAAGGAAAAAGTAATCGATTAGGAACCAATCTAGTCCACTAGCCCTATTGAATTGATGCAAATGAAGAAAAGAGCAACTGTAGAAGAAGCAACCGATTCAGAACCAATCTAGTCCACTAGAACTATTGAATCGGACCAAAGAAGTTGAACTGGTGCAAATGAAGAAAAGAGCCACTGTAGTTAACTTACGAGTTACGAACGAATGAAGTAATCTATTCGGAACAAATCAAGTGCACTGGTCCTGTTGAATTAAACCAAAGAAGTTGAATTGATGCAAATGAAGAAAAGGTCCGCTGCAGTTAACTTTCGAGGATAGCAAAAGGCCATACCGTAGGGCAATCGAACCAATAAAAGCCATCTAAATCAGTTGCATCTACTTCTATTTTTCCCAGAGTTGTTACCCTATAATGATAACTTAATAATTGGAGGGTATCCCTATCTGTTTAGCAAAAATAAAGTGACAGTAATTCAAGGTCTAGCATTTGCTCCATATCCAGAACAAGGGATAAAATTCAGGTGACTTATCATTTGAAATTCAAAGACACAATCAAATAATCCAAATCCAATCATCAAAAAATGGTTGGTTGACCCTTGTTCTCGTATGTAATAAGATAAGGGAAGTAAGATAGTAGGCTGTCTCAAATACCAGGTTGAGAGCAAACCTCCGAATTATGAAATGTCCTCCTCAGTGAACTCGATCCCACGAACTCAAAATTAAGAACCTTGTGCTCTACCAATCATCAAAGCAACAGAAAATCAAACATCCCAAACAAGAACATCAACATCTCTGTAGCTAAAAGATTAACCCAAAAATAGTATTGAAAAAAAAGGTGAAATATTTTTTACAAACCTCTAAGATTTTAGCCTCTTGCTCTAGCCTTTTGAGTTCTGCTTGTACCCTATGCTTCCCTCTAGCATCTATCTCCTTTGTAGTTAACCCAATTCAGTACAATCCGAAACAGGAGGAAAGGATAAAAAGAAGGAACCAAAAGAGTGTGGTTTGAGCAAATTACAACCTTTGAAGAAAAAAAAGGGCCAAAAGTTGAAGCTTTTTTAGTGGTATTAGAAAAAACATAAGAGGAGGGAGGCAAATCTTCATGGACCCCATGAAAGCTTTAATCTTTAGTCAACCCAAAGGAATTCTCTTTTCGAAGACAAAACAAAACAAATCCTTTTTTTTTTCTTTTTTTGCAACTACAAAAATGGATCTGTTGCGAGGGGATTTTTTGGCTGGCAGTGGAGAAACAGAGTTGGGTTTTATGCCCTTTCTGCTGTTTGTTTCTGGGAATTCGAAGAAAAGTCGGACAGAATAATATTGTAGAAGAAAAGTAGGATTTTAAGGAAGAGAGAATAAAGATACAGTTTTCATCTATTTTAATATTTAAATTTTTAATTTTTAAAATTATATTTAATATTTAATTTTTGTGAACATATTTTCATTATTTCTCTATTTTTCTGAATATATAAACGAAAATATTAACGAATATTAAAAGAATATATTATTAATTATGTTCGTAAATAATAAATAAATCGACCACAAATAACTTCAAAAATATATAAAAAAATATGAAGATTGTATTAAAAATTTAAGTAAACAAGAATTAATTGCCTTTTATGGTGAAGGAATTATTGTTAATTTTTTAATATTCAAGTTCAAGCACATAAATATCGACGGTGAGAGCTTTTAATGTTAAAAATCTAAGAGTTATATCTTAACATATATTATTTTTTATTTGCCTCGGATTAATAAAAATATATTATTAGTTCAAACTCGATTCATTCATACCCTTATCGATTGCTCTAGGCAATTTTTTACTTAAATAAATAAAATTTCTTTTAAAGCATTATTGCACGCCGCGTGAGAAAGGCGGCGGTAGGGCACATGGAAGTTCATGGAAACGGTTAACACGTCGCCGTGCTGGTTGTTCCGTGTACTACACGCCGTTCTCTTTTAAATGTAGGAGCGCGTGCTTTCTTATTATTCACGGGCTGTCTTTTGTCTACGACCTTAACTTTTGACAAGTTTGTTAGTAATTGGGTTGACCACGTGGACACTTTCCCATATCAATTTCTCAAGGCTTAATTGTACGTGAGACCCTCAAACGTTTTCAAAAAAGCTAATGTGACTCTCGGATTATTTTTGCATTCAATATGGTCCTCAATTTCAGATATAGAACTTAATTTGATTCTTTGACCAATGATTATTATTATGGTATTGACATAACAATTCACAATCACCTAACGAAGCATTTACTTTTAAGACACAAAAGCTGGATTCTCATTTGTGATTAACTCCAACCAGGGGCAGATGTGCATGGCTCCATAGAAGAGCCATTGCACACCCATATTTTTAATAAAGTTGTTATATTTTGTTTAATTTGCTAATGGGAATAGAAAAAGTAAGAAAAATTACATACTCAAATTTTTAGAATATAGTATTAAAATTTTGGAACTCTATTTTTTAATTTTTAGATTCGTCACCGACTCTAACATGCTTTTCACCTAATCACCTTCATCATAGCTTAAGTATTCTTATTAGCGTTGGGTCATATATGTGCCTTGAACGACTTCCTAATAAATTTTAAATTGGTATATATTTTAAATATTTTTTGTATTTTTATTGATAATTTATTTTTACCATCCTCTAAAATTTTTTATATTTATCATCCTCTAATTTTTTTTTATAAGTTCATCTCTTAACACAAAATTTTAAATTGGTCCTGTACGAAAATACTTGTGGTGTTGTTACTTGGTTTTACTTTTTGTTGCTTCAAGAAATACTTCCAATTATTGTACATATGAAACATCGGTGCATCAATAATAATGAAAGCCAAAAAGACAAGGCACTTTAGTTGTAGCTAGCAAGCCTTCCTTCATAACAATGCTACTAAGTAATATAATTGATTCTACAACTATTGGAATAATCACACTAACATGGTTCAGTGTAAACCTGATGATACAAGAATTACAAGGCCTGCCATTGCAAAACAAAGCTTACCGAAACTCCCCCTTGAACCTTTTGGAGAGATGGCGGTACTCGCCGAGGGTGACGGAACACTCGCTGAAGGAACCGAAGTAGCAGCTGTCGTCGGTTCAGAGGGAGCCGAGGCCGGAGCGGTTTCGGACATGCGAAGCACGTTGATGTCGACTTTCTGTCCGGATTGGCAGTGTCCGGGAACACCACAGAAAAAGAAGTGGTGACCTTTGGTAGTTATACTAATGGAGTCATTGCCTGTGGTAAATGTAGCCAAAGGGGCTGAGGTGTTGCAGGCCTTGTACATGGGATGGGTTACTCGCATCACATTGTGGAACTGAGCATTGTACTCGAAAACTGTTTGCCATTATTAATGGTGACAACAACAGATTTATGTCAGTCTAAACATCAAGTAATGCCAGTAGGATTTGTGGACGAATCTAAAAGACATCTGGTAATATAAGACTACAGAAAAATAGAAGGGTAAATTTCATATTTAGTACCTAGACTACCAGTTTTGATCTGTTTTAATTATCTAAACTCTTTTTTTTTCAAAATCGTACATTAAAGTTTTTGTTTCATTTTAGTATATCTGTTCAAAATTTAACATTAAATTAGGTATGGTTTAGGTGCAAGACTTGATAATTTAGGTACTAAACACTTTAAGTTTATGTATTAAAACGGACCGAACTTGATAGTTTAGGCACTAAATACTTATTTTAACGGTGAAATACTAAAATGAAATAAAAACTAAAGATTAGGTATGGTTTAGAAAAAATTAAAAGTTTAGGTACTAAAACGGATCAAAACTGATAGTTTATATACTAAATGTGTAGTTTACCCAAGATGGAAAATGGTTGAAAAAAAACTTATCAAAAGTGTAACTTTTTAGAATAAATTAACATTATAAGTTGATCCTAATAAATCATAGGGTGTAAGTTTTTAAATCTACAAAATAAGGGTAGTTAAAATAAACACAATATGATACAGGATAATACAGGCACAATCCTAAAATCAATCTCATAATTTAATTTTTAATCTACAAAACCACCCTAAAATTATATAAATCCATCATTCCATTTGTGACATTTTCATTGAATCATGACACATAGGTAGGTGATTCAATTATATTAGGAGAAGTGTACTGAAAATGTGAGAATGCATTATTATATAATTAAGCATGAACACACAGCTGGGCCCCATTCTTTTCCCATCAAAGAAGTTATTGAACATTATAATACAGCCGAAAGGTCCCTCAACTTTTTCATTTCTCACAGATGCTATTTTTCAAGTTTTGACAAACGTTGAATGGATGGATTTGAGACTCCACCAGACATCATAAATAAACTTGAAAGAGCTTTTGGGGTGAAATGAAAGTTGCAATGATAGAGGCATGTGAAAGTGGGTTGTGGTTCACTGGACCCTAACAAATTGGTGAATGTTGGTACCACTTTTTTTTATGTTTGTCTGCAAGTGTCCTGTAAGATTCCTTTGTGAGTTGTAAACAACACAACTTTATATTAGACACCAACTTAATATACCATAATTTTAATTTTTTTAGAGAATAATAGTCTTCAATCCGTCACTGAAAACAAGAAATTAAAAATATCCTTGCAGCTGCGATGAACCCAAGGAGTACAATGGGAGCAGTCTGTGAATTTTCAGATTCTATTATATTTTAGAATTTAATTATTCCATATAAAATTCTACGTCCGTAGATTACTCTTATTTAAATGGAATTTCAGTTCCAAACAGAGATATTATGCAATCTAATTTTGTTAGAACAGAAAGGAAATCCAATACACCAACAAGCACCTCGACAAACCCAGAACTGCGATAGGAAAACGCACGCAAACTAAGGAAAGGAGGAGGAACTCACCAATAATGTCACCAAGTTTGAAGGTTTTGGTAGCAGCCCACTGCTTGTAGTCAATATTGCCAATGGTGGTCCAACCGGCGGAGCCGCCGACCTTGTAAACAGCTGCGTAGGAAAATCGAAGCAAAGCAGCCATCAGAAGAAGAAAAGCCTGGGCCATAACCCGGTTTGCAGCCATTGTAAACTGTGTTTTACGCCCCTGGAGGAAGAAGAAAAAAGAGTTATTTTTTGACCTTTTAGCTGGATTTGGGAGGATGGGAAGGGGGAGGTGTTTATATATCTTCTCAAATTTGGTCTTAAATTTTCTGTTACATTTGGGAGTATGTGGTCCCCCTATTTTTCTCATATTTATTGGCATTGAACACCATTTTATTTCGAATTGACTCTACAATTCATTCTAATTTGACCTTTCAATTGGACATGTCGGTTGGTTTGGATCGGATTGGTTTACATTTTAAATTCTCTATGTTCGGATAATTTCATATTTAAATCAGATGATTTTGAATTACTAAATTATGGTAAAAGGTACGTTAAACCCCTGCACTTCAAAAAAATATATATATACTTTTCGTTTTATTTTTTTTAAATGTGGTCTTTTAACACACAAAGATAACTTAATGGGATTCCTCATTAAAATTTTCTGTCATCAACTAACATTAGTGTATGGTGTAGATCCTTCGCTACTAATGCTCAGTCAATCAGAAGTTTATGCAAAAATCATCTCATAATTGTTTCTCCTCCACTTGAATAACTGTCCATACATCTAAAAATTGATTATTTTCGTCCTTACCAACCAAACTAATTGTTTTCGTCTCTACCAACAACAAACTACAAACTGATTATTTTCATCCTTACCAACAACCACAAATATTATTTACTTCGTAACATATTTGAGAAAACATCCACATCAGTAATACTTATTATCAATG